GATTCACTTTGATTACGCTGATAAACACTATGCAGATTCTTAGCCAAATTCCCACGGGCGATACATGGCAATACACAATCTCTCCTAATTGATTAAAATAGAACAAAAAGGTTCTTCCAATTTAGATGTCATAAAACCAAAACGATACATTATTTTTTTTTTGCATAAACAAACGACATATGGATATAAACTAATAGATCTTACCCTGCATCAAGAAGTTTGAATCGAACATATGTTGCATTGTCCTCATAAGCATCGCTGTTGATCTCACAGAGATCACCCATCTTCAACACGGTTCCCATTACATCTATATCGAATACAAAAAAAAGTAATATTAACAAAACGATATATTATACTAAAATTGTCACAAAACTAACAGATGGTTACCAATATTACCACTTAAAAACTCAAAATCTAATCCGCGAGTCACGATGTCAAAGAAGCGTGTGCAATTGAGATGCAAGTGTAAATTATGGGTTACTGGAGAGATAGGAATCACGACCGTATGAGATCCGAAAATAAACCGATGCCTGTTTACGGTTATGCATATTGAACCACTGGCCTTCTTAACAACGAATCGACGAACCCTAAACCAGTAACCTTGTTTAAGTACAGGTCCATGCAGAGCGATTTCATCGGGCATGACAGTTGCGCCGATACGATGACCCTAAGATCGATTTCGCATAAATTCAAGTGTAAAATCCAAAAGAAAAATTGCTTTTAAAAACAACCCTATGAAATATATAAAGAAATAACAACTACATAACGAAATACCCGATCGTCAGCGAGAATCATCTCAATTGTATCACCAAAGAAATTTACATTCTTCCAGAGTCGAACAACTTGCACATGAACTTCACCGCCAGTAGTGTAATAATCTAACCTAGAGATATCAACAACATGAGACATTTTTTTTTTCTCTGTCAAGAACACAAAAGGAAAAGTAAAAAAAAAAGAAGGAAAGAGAACACATATATATACGCGTTACATTCTAGACAGTTATTTCCTTTTTCAACCCAATAAACTTATGGAAACATACAACATTGAATATGTATTATTAAAATAAAGATTAATTTATTTATAGGTTTTATTTTAAATGACAACAATTGTCTGTCAAAGGCATCTTTTCATCCGTTAATGTACTTTTTCGAGACATTAGCAGCATGCAATATGAGAGAATAAAATCTAATTGCATCTGGTGTACTAAGCATACACGCAACCGAGATACGCGAGCATACCGAGTCAAAAATAATCAAAAAATACAATAGTTTCTTCAGTATACAATCATTACATCAAGCTAGTGAACGTAATTTTCCTGGACAATGTTTTTATAAAGCCAAAGAAACAGTTGGGGAGAAGGGTTACATTGTTGTTTATTTTTAACAATGTATATGAGAAAATGAGGATATATATAACACCCAAATAACGGTTATGGAAAGTGTCGCGTGAATCAGTGCATTTTACGTATTTTCCAAAAGAAAAATATTCCATTTTTGGAAAGTTGCAACTTATGATGAATATTCTAGATAGATTATTGGTTAACACAATTTATTTGTTAAAGGAAGAGTCGAATTTTGGTTATAACACGAAAGTTTTTGACCCAAAACAGTCTTGTAAATACAAAAAAAAGTGTCTAACAAAACTAATAATATATATGGATTATCGATTTTGAATCATTCTAATCGGCCCAAACCATTAGACATCATCTGTATCCAGCCCATATAATCTCTCTCTAATCCTGAAATTTCAATAACAAAATCATGTAGATCTAAATATACATATTTTTTTTTTCATAAGTCAATTTAAACAACACATCGAAACATACTTACCTATTGCGAAAGATCAAAACTTCATCAATAGGTGAATCAGTGATAAAACGCGACACACCATCATCATCATGATCCTTGATAGACACATTCTATAAAACATATATATTGGAATATTGTTATGTTATATACAACGTTTTTATAAATAACATATTGATGTATCATCAGAGAACATACCCCCGTCAATTGCTACACACCAATCGGTTAACACACATATAGCAAAGGGACCTTCGTATTCTCTACACTTATCTCTTATTTCAGTTGCCAACTCACCATGTGCAACACATTCTAGCATGTACTCCCTATATTTTGACAAAGAATGTAGTTAATAATTAATTAGTTAAACTTCAAAAACCTACAGTTTGAGATATACTTACTCATCATCTATTATATTAAATCGAATTGATGATGTAGTCGTTCCATCCGGGTATGTAATAGTAAAATATCTAGCATCTTCAACGACTCAAATCAAATCTGCGATTGTAATTAGTCAAAATTAAGACATTAGTGCGAACTATAAATTTTGCATTATAAGAAGATACCAAAATATTTTTACCAATTAGATAATAATGAGCATCTGGGAATTCATAAATCGAGAGGAATGATGCAAAATTATAAAACGAATTGTTTGTTAATGGTAAAGCTGGTGAGATCGTTGTTCCCTGTGTCAGTGTAATAACGTAATCGTGTTTTGTAATACTTTGGATATTAGTCCAGTTGTAAGGATTCAAAAAAAAATCCAGTCAACATAAACCATTGATCTTCTTCGCATATTTGATTGAAATGCTCCATCATCTGATTGTTTACCCGAGCCTGTATTCTACAACCCTAGAAGTTTATACGATAACATTAGATCAACAAAAGAACAAATTATTGTATGTTAAAACAATAAGCAAAATCAATAATAATTATCACAATTAAATTTTAAGTTAATGAAATTTACTCTTTCATCGACCAAAATGAAATTTAGACTTCGATTATCGTCCGAGTAATCCACCACCCATTTTTTGAGTATCTTTGAGAGTCTAATTGACGAACAAAATCATAATCCGCCATTGCGTGATGCCTATCGTTTAGGGTTATGCAATTTAGAGTATATTTATAAGAAAAAATGTGATTTTATATTAATATATAACCGAAAATTAAGAATATTAATATATAAGGATAAATATAGATAAGGAAACAATATTATCTTCGAGTAAAATAAATAGATATATATATATATATATTGAGAATTTTCTATTTTAAATTATTGAGATTTTTCTATTTTAAATTATGTTAATATTCCAATTCTCATTGTTACCAATTCTTAAAATAGTTTACTATAAAACCATCTATATATGTTAAATGACAATTTTATTGCAATGAAAATTTACATTATATGTTAAATGACAATTTTATTGCAATGAAAATTTAAATTAGTTAAATCATAATCATGCACATCGTTTCGTATCTTCACCCAAGTCTGAAATTAATATTTAAGCATATATGTAAACAATATAGTATCACAAAAAACTATATTAAGGGAGTAGGGTTAATGTCAAAATAATTATCTTACTTTGCCCGATATGGTTTTGTCTGAATTATCTTACTTTCTTATAAATTTATTTTTGTTTGAATTAATTTAAAAGAAAAAATATGGACAGTTACCATTTAAAGCCCATTTACTGTCAAAACCAACAACAATCCACTAATTTATGTTAAGACACTTCCATATTGATATTGACCGATTTGTTCGTTTCACGTGCTAGAGAGAATATATTCTATGTTTTAAGTTTCACCAAATATACACGCAATCTCAATAATACTATTTTACTAAATATAATATTTTGCTAAATTGCAATACTTTTCATAAAATAATATGATCTCTCTCTATGGCTTATGTTATTTGGACAATTTTATGTTTCAATATTTTAGGAAATGACATATTCATACAACATCATAACAAAAAATGCCATTTATGTAGACTTTACGTTATAACTTTATGTATCTACTTGAGCATTTTTCCTTAAAATTATATGAAACAGGAAACCTGGAAAGTCAAACGGTTAGTTGCAAACATAAAGTCGCATAATCTTCCCCATAAAAAAATTGAAAAATGTGAAAATTGATTATTATTGCACATCTTATAAATACTGACTTGAGGGTTTCTTTTCAAAAAACTTTAAAATATTTTATAAGTACCATTATCGTTTCTGAGAGAATTCATAAGAACATGGCGAACACAAACGAAAAAAATCGATGAAAATGGCTTGTTGATCATCAATCCCCCACCATTGGTAATGAGATTCGGTGTCGTGGAACCAAAGTCACCACCTTCACCAACAGATTCCGAGATAGAGCAAGAAGAATTATGGGAACAAATACACTTATTCACCGCATCAAATCAGAAAGCCAAACAGAACACTCCTCAGGTAAAACATCCTATTCACTAAAGTTTGTTTTAATCATGTCTTACACAATGAATTATAAAATCTGTATATTCTACTTATGGAGGATGACAAAGGCAACACATCTAATGAGACACCCCAATCAAGTTGCACAAAACGAAAACACGACCTGATTCTAGATCTGGAGATAGGGTTGAAGTGCCGATTGAACTGTATGTTGTAGAAACAATTCATGTTTAAATATAATATTGAGTTAGTTCAAAGCTATATAATTTTACAAAAATCTAAATCGGATTGTTTGTGTCTGTGTTTAAAGGGAAAGGAGAAGGAACGTAAAAAGAGGAGATATGGAGTTTAATCAAGAACAATATCAGTTTCAAACCAATTTCATGTTTTTTTTTTCTGTTTGCAATGATCACTTTAAAGACTGTATGTACTTGGTTTTATTTTCTAAAAACTATTAAGTTTAATTCGATGACATGATAATTTGGTTTTGAAGCATTCTCGATGAAATGTCAATAGATGCCCAATAATATGCTACAATTAAAGTTTGGTTAAAATATGTTATCGAATAGAGTTTGTCACTAGAATATCCGACTACAGTTAAAAATCAGAAATCAAACCATTAATACATGAGATCCAACTTAGTGAAAAATCGAAAAACGTTAAATCTATTAAAAACTATAAAACCGAATGTAATGGACTTCTACAATAAAAAGAACTAACATATTTCGAGATACATAGAGACAACATATCACAAAACAAAACACAGTAAAAAGGAATATCATATCTTGTCAAAAACCTCCTTGTAGACGACATTCAATGTTTTGTTTTGTGGTTTGTTGTCTTTATCGGTGATCAATATCTTCAAACCTTCTCTTGATGTAACCCTCGATACAGCGACATAGAGTTGTCCATGAGTAAAAACCGGTCTTGGAAGATACAAACCAACCTTTTCGAGTGTCTGTCCTTGGCTTTTGTTTATAGTCATTGCAAAAGCTAATGTGATAGGAAACTGCTTGCGTCTCATCCTGAAAGGAAGTTTCATCTCCGAAGGAGAGAGGAATATCATAGGAATCAGTACCTTTTCACCAATCTTGCTACCTGTTATTATCTGAGCCTGGAGAACATAATTAGCCATCTTAATAATGATGAGTCTTGTGCCATTACACAACTCATTCTTAGGGTCGATATTTCTTAGAAGCATTACAGGAGTACCCTCTCTCAACTTCAGGACATGATTAGGGAAACCAGACATCTTGATACTATTTAAAAACTCCTCGGTATAAATCATATTGTTGGAATCACCTTTATTCTTACTGGCTACACTCTCTAAGGGTACTTCAGATGCATCATTGTAATTAACAACTTCTTCAGTCGTATCAATGCTATCACAGCTAAGATAGGTCCTTTCAACACCTGTTATATACAAAACAACTGTTGTATTATATAAATATAAAGAAATAAACTAAGAGGAATTAAAACAAAATAAACATACCCAATAACTTTGAAAGCATATAATCATTTATCGTATCTACATCATTGTTTCTTGGACTCAGTATGGCACTGTCTTGGAAAAATTTAGGATCAGTCTCTTTCGAAAACGAACTCCCATATATTTCTTTGACGATCGTTTTTATAGGATCTTTACAGTCTTTAATCAACAGATCATCAGGAATATCAATCACGGCTTCACCACTACCATCGTCATTTATCGTACCATCACCAATGTCTAAGATCCACTTTGTAAAGGCAGCTCGTTCAAGCATAGCATGACTATTATCTCCAGCTATAAGTCGCATGTTCTGTGTAAGTCTCAAAACTCTACATTTGTACCACAGAGGTGACGAATTCAAAGTGGCCATAAGTATCTTTGTCTTCCCGGCATTTGGAATCACTGGCAATATTTGCCTAAAATCCCCTCCTAAAACAATGACTTTATCACCAAAGGGCTTATCAACTTCTAATATATCACGCATCGTTCTATCTAGAGTCTCGAAACAGTCTTTACTCATCATCAACGCCTCGTCCCATATAATGAGTTTAGCAACCCCTATCAAGTCGGCAAGATTCGACTCCTTCTTGATTGAACATAAGGTAAACTTATTAACCACAATAGGGATTGCAAATCTTGAATGCGCAGTTCGGCCTCCTTCTAATAACAACGCAGCAATCCCGCTCGATGCAACCTTGAGAACAACATCACCTTGGGAACGTAGAGCAGATCCTAATAGACTCTACAAATAAGTTTTGCCAGTACCTCCAGAACCATAAACAAAGAACATACCTCCTCTGTTCTTATTAACTGCTTCTAGTATCTCATCATAAACACTTCTCTGTTCACTGGTTACAGTGGCTAAAATCTGCTCGTTTCTTAGTCTAAGAGTTTCACGATTGTAATTCCTCTCATCCCGAATAAGAGGATTATCACGTGACTCCAGAGTAATATCTTCAGGAAACGGCATAGGTGTGAATTCTTTTAAGGATCTCCCACTTACACGTAAAAGAAGTTCTATTTCGACCAGAGTAAAGTCTTTAACTTGCTCCTGAGATAGACTAACAGCTACACAATTTCAAAAAAATTACAAAAGATAAATTAGCTATCAATATCTTAAAGATATATAATAACAACAACGCAAACAATAACTATACGACTTACTTTAATCCCTGACAGCTTTTCTGTAATTATATATGATGTCATCTGATAATACCTGCCATGTAGCATCCCAAACTCTAGAAGGAATGGATATACTTTGAGTAGTGAGCAGGATCACAAAAAGACGACGGAGATAATTGGCAGAAAGCCACAAGCCGCCCTCATTGATGGCCTCAATATATTCTTTGTCATCATTCAATAATCCATACGCATAGCAAGCTTCTTTGAAGGAAGAATGTAGAACTTTGTTGACCGTTTTTATATCATCAAAACTACGTGGTCCTTTGACTAAATTAAGCAGAAGCCTTAAATAATACGCTTCACCTGCGCCAATGGGTACGTACGTGATTCTACCAAGAGCAACTCTCCTTGATCGTGGCGTCCATATTTTCTTAGTGTTATTCCACACAAATCTCGTAGGAAATTGCGCATAAGTTAACGTCCTCGCCAATTCATACATATCGTTGCACTCCATCCAAGCAATGAATTTTGACGTACCAACTGAGACACAATTAATAACCTCGTCACCTGGATCATCCTCGTTGTATATGACCATTTGCTGATTCGGTAAATGAAAGGGTAGTTTAATTACAGAAACCGTGCGATGGTGAGTATGATTACCGAAAATTCTCCACGTAGACTCCGAAGGTGCTACATACCTACATAGAAACACATTATTAAATAATGGAAGATTAGAATTTCAAAGATATAAAATATGTGAACAAAATGTTTAAAACATACCTACAATTGAAGTGTTTCTTAATCTCATTTTCTTTATCATCATTCTTGACAGTTGCACGAATGTAGTCAGCACCTTTATGAATATATTTGAATAGATACTTTACTGATCGAGACTGTACACACCATTCGACGTTGATGTGAGTCCTATAAAGCAGTGTGAGACTCCTATTATAAGGAACCACAAATCCATTATCACATTCAATACCCTTTTTAACGATAACTTTCTTGTCATTACGTCGCCTGTATATAGGATATCCAACATCATCTATTTTAGTGATCAGACTGTAAGGTTTTGGAAAATACTTTGTACATTTTCCTTCAGCCATGCAAACACTATCCTTATTCAAAGCACCACATGGTCCATGCATCATGACATCTCCTACTATCTCATACAGCGCTGGATCAATATCCTTGTCAGAAATCTCAGCACATATTATCTTATCAATGTCATCACCAGTTGGTAGCTTGTGACCAGCTTCTAAAAAAAGAACGATGTGTGCATGAGGTAGCCCCCGTTTTTGAAACTCAATCGTGTAGATCGCTGCAACGAATAAATGGTAGTTTTTAAAAGATTAGTTAGCATGATCATCTAGCAATGTTATGAACATTATCTTGCTAAACGAAATAATATACTTAGTTTAATAAAACAGACCGGCTTTTACGACACCTAACACATTTTCTTTGGTGAGCCTGTGCATGAGATCATCTAGTTTCATCTTGAACACTCGCGTACATATATCTGGTCTATCCTCTTGCTTCAAGTTATGTCTTTTTAGGTGCCTGGTAATCTCAGGCCATTTGGGATTACACGTAAAGGTTATGAAAAGATCCGGAAAACCAAAATGCTGGCAGTAGTCATCGCATCTAGATAATATTGCACCATATACCTTGTACCACCAGTATAAGAAGAAGGTATAATAATACGTTTACCCTTGTCAGAAAGATCAGTGTCACCTTCATCAACAGTTTTCTTTATTTTGTCATAATTTTCGCAACGAAGTTTAGACTGATTCATTGATATGAAACGTAGTCTATTAGTCTCAATCATCGTGTACGCATCCACTAAAAACTGCTGGAACAATCTTCCAGATAAAGGGATGATTGGTGACTCACCAACCCTCTCTTGTATGCGGTAAGCAAAAAACTCTCTCATAGTAATATGCAACCTTTTCCTCCCTTGGGTATCTACAAAACCAATATCGATACCAAGTCTGAACCCGTCCTCACCATAGGGAAACAATAATGGATATTGCAAAGGCAGATACGCAGGATGTAGTTCACTGATCCTTTTGAGATTCCCAGTCTTTTTACACTCGATGATGATATCACGTGCATCTACCTGACCATTGAAATCATTAGGTATCAGTGCAGCAACTTCATTAGTAGCTGGTAGATTATCAGTCTTTCCATCGATTTTCCTGTCACACCTTTAAATTATCCTTAACCGGCTTGTATCATCGTTAGGATCAAACCTTTTTCGAACGTTTCGTAATGCATCCACATGTTTGTTATGTTTATCTAGCATATTTTTTATTTTCTCAACAACCTTCACTCGCAATTTATCAGCTGGTCCCGTTTTCCTGTAAAATTTTTAAAATAAATTCTTATAACAGTTAGAACCATATAACATTTAATAACAATACATATATGTTTTAAAATTGAACTCAATGATTAAATTTAATTTAACCAAAAGAATAATAATCATACCCACAAGCAGCTATTCGGTTAGATGTTTCATTTGCGGTATCATATATATATAGCTGTAAAAAGGCTGGTTCTTTTCCAGGAGGTGGTAGCAACTCCCCTATAGAATGGTAGTTCTCCTCACTCATTTGGAAAATGTAAGGACCTTTCCCGTCGTTGATTTCTTTATTTATTTTCCCTCTAAGCGAAGTGAAAGAAAACATCATATTATACGCCCGGATAAACTCACGAAAGTGATCACGCAAATCACCATCATTATACATCAATGCTAATAAGGATTTCAGAGGGGTTTTAAGAAGTGGAAGAACGACTTTACCCTGACCACAACACATGGAGAATATAGGCTTCCCACGTCGATATCGTTTACCCAACCTCTCTCCATACCACATATAAGCCTTACAATTACCACATATATATATATAGGATCACCATCGTCGTAATAACCTAATTAAATTAATATTCATTGCTTAGTATTAATTACACAGTAGTTATATATTATGTATTGAATGAAATATATTAGTACAATGAAAACCATAACCTCCATCTTTCAGACCAGGACTAACTGATTCCAATAAATCTGTTCTAGTAACAACGGTCTCTGTTGCATCCTCATCACAAAAATCAGAGATTTTAGCACGTTTTTTGGGTCTTCCTTTCTTTTTATTACCAGGCCTCGATTTTTCCATATCCTCACTTTCCGACATAGAGTCTTCATCATTATCCATATCGGACTCAGAATCAGTAGCAATAAAGCAAGCAAACTCTTCGGTGTTGATAGAAGTAGCCAAAAGATCTGTTTGTTTTTTTTACGGAAAAAATAATAAGTGTAAATCAGGCATATAATTATTAATAAACATTGTAATTACGAAAAAGAAGATCAAACCAATAGCTTCTTTTCTTTTTCTCCTCTCACGCATGATATGCATTCGTCTCTGCTGTGCATTACGAATTCCCGGGGGTGTTAGATCAGGAACTTCATTGATATTGTAACGGAACAAACCTCCAAGTTGGTCTATATCGGTTACACTGGTAGGAGCATATCGTGCGTTCTTAGCATTACCACCAACAAATTACAATTAATAGTAAGCAAATTTATAACACGTAAATGTCTTAAAATGTAATTTACTTTAAAAAAAAAACACCTTTATTTGGAGCAATCGACGAAGATGAACTTTTTTTTTGCGGACGCCCAAGCTTACGTTTCATTTTTTCTGGTGGACAGCACAAACAAAAAAAAAATGTGTGATCTAAATACACAATCATTAACAAACTATATATATGAAATATTATATTGCGCGATAATGCAAAATATACATTTTAACTTCTCATAATAAATTAAGATTTTGGTAATAAAAAGAATTTCGGAATAGAAAACCGCACGATAATGTTAACATTACTTATTCTTCGCGATAATATGCCTATCTTCTCTAATGCACCATAATACTCCAATATCGAAAATTTACATTTTTCGTGATAATGTTAAAATACTATTGAAATACTTCTACATTACAATAACGCGGATCTATAAATAATTATTTATTATTCCAAATATGCAGAGTTAATCCTAAAAATATATCTCTACATTACAACAAATATATTATCCTAATGTTTTAAGAAAACCGAAAAGACTATCGTTATATTTCTTAGAAATTGAATATTCTCCCAAAAAATGGTTATTTAACATATCATCCAATAAATTATATCAAATAAATTGAATATTCTTGTGGAAAATTATACTACAATTCGTTACGCAGGCGTTTTGGGGATAACTATGAACATCGAAATCCATACATGAAAATAATGATTAAAAAATCTTATTTTCATACACTGCGTCAAAAGTCAAGTTTTATTCAAATCACATACGATGTTTAACACAAACCACAAAACCTAAAAATAAAAATTGATATAAAATAATTCCTAAAACATTAGCACGAAACTCGTAACATCAGGGTTTAACGACTGGATATCAACTCTCGAAACTATAGACCTCGAAGAATGGCGAATTTAGAATAACTTGTGTGCAATCATACGACGTAGTTGCCAAGAAACACCCTATATTATCGAAGAAATGAAAATCAAATCATATTTATCGCATATACTTTACAACCATCTCATATCAAAAATAAAAAATATACCTCGTCGAACAATTATCTTCGCAAAACGAATGATGCAAATAATGACATCTTGTTTACATCCACCCAACTCACGAAGAAAAGTTTCAGCATAATCACCTTTCAAAAAACATGATAAACGTTGGTTCCTAAAGTTTCCCATCAAACAAATATCAGTCTGAGTTAAACTTAAAAATTCGTTTTTTAAATTCTATTAACATAAAATAGATTACCTTTCATTTTCGAGATCAAATCTTATTATAGGCTGTCTAGAGTATCCTAAGGATCCAATTCTATCGTGAGAGTTTCCAACGTTGACAACCTTACCGATTAGATCTGTTTTTAAAAAAAATGAATATCAAATAATTAATATAGTAACTGCATGATAAATCGGTAATGAAAAATACACAGAATACTCACCCACACAGTAGTTAAAATCAATAGTCCCATTCATAATATCTTCGAAAACAACGAACGAAAAATAACCATTGATATCTAAAGTATAAGAGCTTGCACATGTTGTATCACTGGTAAGTTGAATCATATAAGGATGTGTACTTGGCTTAAATTCACCAGTAAGAGGCAATAGATTAAAATTTATTAGAAGAACCCAATCTTCCTCGTTATATATCCTCGAATACTTATCATAAAATTCAATCGGTGCAGTTACATAAATCTTCTGTCCCTGAGAAGTATGGAATCAAACATTCAGACATTTATCATTACAAAAACTAAAATATAATAATGAAATTGATGTGTTATACCTTCCATTCCCCCATTATAAAGTCTAACGTGCGGTCACATTCAGGAAATCTTTTAAATTTACGTAAGACTTTCAACTTAGTCTTCCATATATGCTTGGTAGGATCGAGTTCGGAAATTCCAAACAGATTTTGATCATATTTTTTATACACGGCGGCGAAAGATAGTAAATAAGCCATTTAGGTTAAACGCAAACCCAGAGTCTCAAAACAATTACAACGATTACGTCCAAAGATAACTTAAATAAACATAGCAGAGACAATACTTAAACAAAACTTTTGTTTCCTATTTATACAATTTAAAATAAAAGGATATATCGAATATTTTACATTTTTGAGATACCTTAATGCTTATTTGACATTTTTAGGATAACATAGGACCTTGATAGAAAATTTATCATGATCACAGGGATACCGTTTCCGATTTGTATTAGGGATCTATTATACTATTATAATTATAACAATTTTCCAATTGGTATTAGGAATATATCGGAGGTGAGCCATTTACATCGTTATATATAAAAACAATGTATTAGCATTACCGAGTTATATATGACGACTACTTTTTAGGTTTTATAGGCACTACATCATGTCGATCGCTGCTTGTCTTTTAGCAATGAAAAACATGACTTACACCAATGTCTCCGATATAACTCCATCAATTTAACTACGCCGTATTCGTGTGAAAATACTGCGTATGTTCGAGCACATCGGTGAACCTGATAACACTTTAGATTTGGTGTTGGTTGATAAAAAGGTATTCCGGTGACTTTATATTTTTCGTGCATATCACGTCTCTGATATACATATTTTTGTTTTTTTAGGGTGATAAAATACATGGATCAATATCAAGAGGGTTTATAGACAGTTTTACATCAGAAGTGAAGCAAGATTCAATTATTCTATACCGTTTTGGTGTAGTCCCTGTCATCGGAGACTTGAGGCCGACGTTGCACAATTATAAAATAATATGGAATTCTCAAACTTATTTTCCAAAGATCCCTTTCTATGATAACAACAACTATCTAAGTATCGTTGAATTTGGTAACATACACAACAATCTCCGAGACCCATTGTTTTTCGTTGGTATGACTTTAGATAAATTAATAAATAATAACAAAAAATATATGCTATTTTATATCTATAAACTTTCTCAATGACTAACTAATCTTTTTATTAGATATAATTGGACACGTCGCAGTGATTGGAACATTTAGTCACAAATCCTCCAAGAGCCAAAGAAAGTGGGGTAATGTTTACGTGGAACTCCGTAACGAATTGGAAGTTTTTTAAATATATTTCTCAATTGCAATCACTGTAATTATCAATTTTTACTACATTATATGATTATTATATGCCCAACAGAGATGTTAGATTGCAAGTGTTATTACGGAACGGCTATGCACTGGACCTGATGACTGCTTTATCACGGAAAGAACACAAAATTAACATTTGTGTTATACGTTTCGTGCAACTGTTCAAATTTGCACATGCTTGGGCAGCGATAACTGCATACAATTTTACCGAAATTTTACTAAACCCTAACCTACCAGAAGTCGAGAGAATGCGGACCACAATCACGGAATCAGACAATGGTGTTATATTAAATTTTTGAATAGTTTCTTTTTTCGCATGTTTTATTTTCTTTTTTTTTATATGTTTTTATCATTTGATTCAATAAACGATGGTACTATATCAAAAATCTCCTGATATTATTATTTTCGTATACATTACTTTTTTCAATTTCTAAAATATATGTTTATTATATATATGCATATTTATTTTCCTAGTAAAATATTATAATACTTTTAAATCAACAACAGTGTCATGAACACAATTTTGCATTGAAAACAAAAAGTGACACTCTTTGTAAATCAAAAACAATACGCTAAAATGAGATGCTTTGCGGAACAGATGAAATTTATAGATATTGAATATTTTATTTATTACAATAAAAATAAAAAACAGCTATGTTGTTCAAATACACAACCTATAAAAAACGAAATAAAAATTTAATATCTCCTACGGAAACTGATCTTCATATTCATCATCCAAAGGGGTAAAATCAACTGCAGTTTCAAGCCTGGTACAATATGACAATATTATAAAATTATAAAATAGATGTCAATAGAATACATATACATGATATAACATCAAAATTGGAATCTACATACCTCATATTTGCTATTGCCACTTCTGGAGTAGGAGGATCCTCGAGAATATCAGATATGAATCTTTCCGATTCAACTATCCACTCATCTAATAACATATACATATTCAGTATGCATGTGGAAACAATAAATCTGTTAAACTTCTGATTAATTGCCATATTGAATAGATATTAATAGTTAATATTTATGTACCCCTCCACCTATTGAGAGAGAAAAATCGCAATACAATAATATGCCTTGAAGACTTATCACGATTCGTCCAAAGTTCTTCAAATTTCGTTGCCAAGTTATCCCAAGCAATACATTTCAAGGAATTTCCACTGTATATATTTACACCAACACAGAAGATGATTAACATATTTTAATATATCAAGAAACCCAAGTCTGACACCAGATACTCTGAGGATAAGTTGTACTTACCCGAGATCTTCGAGTACAAAACGAATAAGTGGACGTTCTGTGGGTGTATCCGATGTATCGGACATATGAACTCCTCTTTGAAGTTTCTGAACAAAAGTGACAACCCCGAGAAGATCAACTGCAAAATCAAACAACTAAGTTAGAAAAAATTCATTTCTCAGTTAATGAGATAAACCAAGATAATAACATGCATGTAAGATACTTACCAAGATATCGTTCTGTTTGAATGGACGCAAGCAAAATATCTATGAATGGACAGAAA